ACGATGTCAACCGACACTGACTTAATAAAACATTTTTAAGAAGCTGTCCTCGACCGGATAAAATATCCCAGGATTCCTGACTCCCGTGCTTTCCTGCTAATGCCAGACGAAGTTCGTGCCTCTTTCCTGCTGAAGCGGAGCCTGTCATTAGGTCTCTGAAGCTAATTTATGGCTTTAAAAGTAAGAATAGGAATGTGGTTAGCAATTTACCGATGAGCACAGATTGAAAGATAAACTGAGAGAGGACGTGAAATCCAGAGCAGCAGAAGAATAGCATACCAGAGAGGTGTGCAGGGCCACGATGCCTTCAGCTATCCAGCCTGGATCCTGCCATCAAAATCATAAAATTTCACAAATACCGTTCTAGGGAAATACTATTATAGAATGAGAAGATGTCCACGTTTAAGGTGGCAATACAATTGAAGTGCAAACTGGTAAGAGAATTTAGCATGATTTTAAACAACCCAATTCTTTAAAAAAAATTATTTTCCCCCATCAAATGAATCTGAAACCAAGCCTTGTTTCAGAGTTCATTCACTAACAAGGCAGCTGTCATTAAAATGACAAATCCCAGTTTTATTCACCCCAGAAAAAGTGCTCCATTTGGGGGGTGTTTCTAAATCTCCACTAAACTACTGAAGTTTATAAAGTGTTTATTTTAATACATTAAAAAAAAAAACACAGCAGCAACCCTTATGAAAAGAACTGTACCCAAAATGCTCCTCCAACCAGCTCGCTTTTTCAGGCAAGCAGAAGTTCGATTTATTACTAGCGAGGTTCAAAGGTTAAAATGAAGAAAATGCGGGACTCTTGGAAGGAGGAGCTAGCCCAGCCAGGGTCATGTGACAGCTGCTATTGAAAAATGTGAAAAGGCACAGGGAGAACAGGGTATCTGCCTGCTCTTCTTCCTTTACTGCAGCATTTGATTCTCACCAAAAATGTAAAAAGCAAGGCTAAGATGTGTATGACTCTCAGAAGAGGCCCCAAACAAATAAATCAGCCCCAGGCTGACGGAGCACAGCTGACACCCATCTCGGCTTCCTCTCGAAGACAGAAGAAGGCTGCGTTTAAAAATGAAATGGCATCTCTAGTGAATTTCAATGAAGACAGTCTAATCGCAAACCAGTGAGGTCTCTTTCTGTCACTACACTTACAGAATTAAAACACTATTATAATGTGTGCCATTTTATCTCATGATTCGTTTAGATGTTTATTTATATGGAAAGAATACATTTTTCTTAAACTACCTCTTGTTGCCTTTTTTACAAAAGTATTTTCAGAACTCACAGCCTCCCAGAAGGCAAGGCAAACAGATAATTAAATGTTGCAAATTATAGATCAGTTAATTATTAAAAGCAAGCTATATATCTTTAGAATCTTTTCTAATGACACCCTTTTAAAGGGTGTCATTAGAAAAGTTGTGGCATTAAGTTCTTTATAAAGTATACATTTTCTATGTCTCCATAAATATTGTGTTAGATTCCTTAAAATGTATTCTTCCTTATGTATACAATTTTTACATTTAATTCAGAATGGTTAAAAAAATTCATGATTAATGCTAATATTTATTGACATGAGATACGAAAGTAATAGCCCATGGCTGGATTTAAAGTTGGATTTATGACATCATTTTGATTGTGCACATTAGCCACAATTACCTGCACCACTCATTCTGAGCCACTAGATGGTGTAACAAATGAATTAAAAACTGTAACATTTCATGCCATCATCACCACATCTAAATATAACTCTGACAAAGACTAAACAAATTTCTAGGCCTATAACAATGCAAGTGATTTCTATACTAATTCTACTTTTTAAAAAGTCTATCAATATATACGATCAGCTCTACTTTGATCTGGAAACAAGCCCCTTTGAGCAATGTTTCACTGTCTTTACTAAGGGCCTTGAGTTCTGAATTTACAGTAATGCCAAGAATTTAAATTGCTGTCATCATTCATATATTAAGTGAACTTATGATATTAATTTATGGTCTATGCTTGCCAAGTTTTGATAAAAACTGGAAGGCCAAACCAAATAGAAATTTAGTCTCCAGAGATTCCAATCTGAACTTGCCCAAAGCCAAGTGGAAGAGTCAGTCTTCACAAGCAACCAGACAACCGACTGCTGGGACACCCATCATGGCGCAGAGTTAGTTCACATTCCTTCGAGGGAGAGTTAAGTGTCCTTTATTCTCCCCCTCCCCCCACTGAGACCTCTCTGGTTGATTCCACTAGGCCCACAGCTGGGCAAATCTGACAGCCACTCAGCCAGCGGTAGTGATGTGTGTTAGCCCCCAAGCTGGACCGCCACTAACCTGGGCTCTACGACCAGGCCTCACAGGTAAATCAGCATCCCCACAAAACAGTTCTGGGAGTGCTGGAATTACCTCCCCGGGAATCCTGGAAGTGCAGCACACATATGTGATTATCGTTTTAATTTCATATTAACAGGAAATGGTTTCGAAGGCAATGGGAGGACTGAGACCTGCCCATTGGGATGCTGCCCGCCTCACAGCCCCTCCAGGAGGCTGGTACTCCGAGGCTTTCAGCAACAAAGACAGCCTGGTTCGGAGAGAAGACTTTAAGAGCAGGCTCACCTGGGCTTCATGATTTCACATTTTACCGCCTATAATAATGAAAGCGAAATATGCTAATTAGACCGGACATCCTTCCGGACGAAGCCGACGCTGTGAGGGTAGCCTGGGTCCTAGGTGCCAGAGAGAAGCCGGTGCCAGCGGCCAGGGACAGGAAGGCCTACTCTTGCATGAATTTCGTGCCTTGAGCCTCTAGTGGAAATATAATGAGTATTTGCCATTTGCTCCTCTAATAGGAGATTCCAAGTGAAGGCTCATCAATCTTTTAACTTTATACACAACTACAGCTAAATTGGTGAAAGAAGCTGTGAGCTAGGTAAATTTGAGGAGTGATGCCAAGGAAGTTTGTCAAGAGCTGAAACCAGCCTGGCCAGTGTGGCTCAGTGGTTGAGTGGTGACCACATGCTCAGGTTGTGGGCTCGATCCCGTGTGGTGCATGAGGTGGTAGCCAATCAATGATTCTCTCTCATCATTGATGTTTCTATCTCTCTCTCCCTCTCTGAAATCAATTAAAAAAATATTTTTAAAAGGAACTGAAACTAATCATCTTGTTCCTATATTAAGTCATTAACTCAAAAACCTGTTGTTTTAACTCAGGCAATCAAGTTCTTAATAATGGGCCTAAGGTGAGAGTTATGATATGGCCATTTAGAGCTCCCAGAACTGAAAGTATCTTTCAAAAATATATATTAAAAAATCCCACAACTAATGAGCAGAGGACTGAGAAACAAAAGATAACCTTAGCTTTGGGCACCTCAAACAGCAATTATCACAGTTGGCTATATGCATTTACTTACCAAATATTTCCCCCAATAATCTACAAGTGGTTATATCATATCTCTTTTGCATTCCTGGTGCTTAGAACGGGACCTGGCCCATTATATGTACTTTATAATGGTTTCAAATTAAACACAAGGATGAAAAGAAGGGAGAGAGAGAGGAAGGGAGGAGGGAAAAGGAGAGAGGGATGGAAGAAGGAAGGAAGAGAAAAGCACAAGATGAAGACAGCAGAAGGCCCTGATCTGGAAGTCAAGATGCTTTGTGAAGCACAGGCTCTGGCACGCTCTTGACCCAAGCCCCTTACCTGTAAAAGCCACGAACACATAGGCGATCCCTAAGATCCCTTGCTCAATCGGTCTATGACTCTCTGCTATGATTTTACACACCAGCCAACAAATGTTAGAATTCTCTTCTGTTTCTAACAATCACAGCATCTTTCTGAACAGCCCAAAATATTTCTCTAATCAAGAAACCACATCACATTCCTAGACTTACGATTTCTACAACATTTTCATACAGTTTCCGTAATCACAGAAACATTTTGAATAATCCAATATCTTAGAGACACAGACATGACTTTTCATATATAAAGATGAGTTCAGCCGAAACCGGTTTGGCTCAGTGGATAGAGCGTCAGCCTGCGGACTAAAAGATCCCAGGTTCGATTCTGGTCAAGGGCATGTACATTGGTTGCAGGCACATCCCCCATAGCGGGTGTGCAGGAGGCAGCTGGTCAATGTATCTCTCTCATCGATGTTTCTAGCTCTCTATCCCTCTCTCTTCCTCTCTGTAAAAAATCAATAAAATATATTAAAAAAAAAAGATGAGTTTAAGCAACATACTTTGCTATTAGTTTACAAATACAATTATGTTAAATTTTTTTAAAAAAATTACCTAGCCCTAGCCGGTTTGGCTCAGTGGATAGAGATCATCGGCCTGCAGACTGAAAAGTCCTGGGTTCGATTCTGGTCCAGGGTACATGCCTGGGTTGCGGGCTCAATCCCCAGTAGGGGAGGTACAGGAGGCAGCCGATCAATGATTCTCTCTCATCATTGATATTTCTATCTCTCTCTCCCTCTCCCTTCCTCTCTGAAATCAATAAAGAACTATTCAAAATGAAACTAGGCACTTGAAAAAAATTGCCTAAACCTGTCTGAATAGAAAGGCATTGCTCTTAAATTGTCGGAACACCCCACATATTTACATAAAGATGAAAAGCTTACTCTATAAACACGGTGTTTCCAGTAGTGAATGGCAGGCAAAATCAGAATAAGCACACAGAAGAATAAAAAGGAAGAGAAAAGAAAAACATAATAAATAACCTAATACCTTACAATGTTAACTTGCACATAAGTATATTGTTTCTGGAGAAGGCGGTGTGGATGGGAGCCAAAGGCTCAAGTGATAGATAAACACACTGCTAAGTTGAATCCTGTTATCTGATTGTGTTTAAATTTTGATTATATTTCACTTGACAAAATAATTAATTATTGTGAACTCCCGATTGTTCACAAGGACCTAGAAGAATTCCGACTGGCATTTTCCCCAGGGTTACCATCCAAATGCATAACAACCTAGCTGTGTATTCACCCTTTGCAGCTGTCATTTTCGGGTGTCTTCTTACCTTGCTCAGAATGTAAATCACATCCCCGCGTTTAAATGACAACTCGTCAGAAAGGGCACCCGTGCAGTCCCACAGACCCTGGTAAAAATTAGCGTAGTCGGTGCTTTTATCTCCTAGGAAGAAGAGAGAGAAGGCGTGAGTTAGAGGTCTCCAGCAGTGGGCCCTCCCTTCAAAATGAACCAAGAGAAAGGAAGGTGGATGGGATTTCAATCCCACCCAAACCACCAAATATTCAAAAAATTCACTCCTGATTCCAGGAAATGTTTATTACCTCCGTACAAGAATCCCACTTCTATTATCACCTAAAGAAATGCCTGTGTGTTTTTTTCTCTTTCTCTCCTTTTGTTGTTCACCTAAAACCTGTAATTGCACCGTTTTCTCATCAAACCAGCACCTGAAAGTTACTTCCCACTCATTTTACAGATGCACCTCAGCCCCTGGCAGCACGCTTTGAGGATGAGGCCCACACTGCAGAGTGAGCAACGGCCACGAGGCGTGAGAAACACACTGTGTGCGAGGTGACCACACTGTGTGCGAAGTAACCGCCCTTACAGAACCGGACACTCCATTCCAAGGACGATAACAAAGGAGCTAAGGCGCAAATCTAACCCAAACTAGGGAACACTTCTCTAAAAATTCTAAAACTGAAAGCTGGTTTCAGAAAAAAGAAAAAAAAAAAGGAGAAAGTGGAAATAATACAAAGGGTAATTCCAGCTCTTATCTATGGGGACTTTTGGACCCAAAGCCTCCCCGAGTTATTTTACAAATATTTTAGCAACTTAAGAAATTGTCAGGGCTGAAGCTGCGTTTCTCAAGATTCCTGTCAGCCCGAGTTTAGGACATTAGGCTCTGAATAAACATGCAACATACACGGGAGTTATCAGCTCATCCTTCTAACAGCATAAGCACAATGGATGTGATGTGCTCAAGCTGCCATACAGACCATTAACTGATTGATTATTTAGCGCTCTCCGCTCTGTAATACCACAATAAACTGGGTAATAAATGCTTTGTCACTTGCACACTGCGGCTCTCCTCAGACACAGCACAGAGTTAAGTACACTGGGTGCTTTTGTTACCCAGAGAACGGCTTCCTGTTTTTAATTTCACGATAATTGAGTTTTGATGAGTTAACGCAAAAAGAATGCAAGCTGAGAGAATGCAAGTGGTAGCACTAAGATGTCCGTGTAGTCGCTAACCAGGCAGAACATCCACGGGCTGACAACTTCCATCATGGAGTGTCATCTCTGCATTCGGAGGGGATGGCTGTGGAGACACACACTGGAGCGGGGTTGTCATCCTAGTTTTGTGAGCTGGCTCTCTCACAGCAGGCTGGCTGGCAATTCCAACGCAGCCCGTCACATCAGCATGTCATTAGGGCGCTCCTCTTGTGACATATGGTTTGTGATATGTACAAAGTGCCGTGAGCATTTGGAATTTTTAAAATTCTCTTCAATAGTGGAAACAGTTTTTAAAGCCAAGGAGAAAATCTGAACAGTAGGGAGTCTGAATATTAGGAAGTAAGATGCTACTTTTCAATTATACTTTTAAATAAACAAGGACTAGAATACACAACCTAGTAAAATCCTATTAGTTTTTTTTCCTCGCGTTTTCTAAGAATTAAAACAAAGAGAGGGAGGGGAGGAGGGAAATAGGAGGGGGAGGCGGCGAGGGAAGGAGGGAGGGTGGGAGGAAGGCAGAGAGAGACGAACCTTGTCGACCTCTCCGCTCTAGCATTTGAGCACCCATTACGGATACCACAGGGATGTGCACCAGCCCGGAATCCAACCAAGAACTAACAATGCTGTGGCCGCCTTCATTACATCCCCCCCCCCCAAAAAGCCTATCTGAGGTGAATCCCATAAATGGACACTAGAGGGCACTCTGGCTGGACAGATCACTCCAAACATTGTCAATTTTTTTTTTTTAGAAAAAAATTACTTAATAATAAAGTGACTGATTTCCTTTAAAAACCACTTATTTAGACAAATAGAGATTTAGAAGCTGAAACATCCTAGTCAGATTAAATCAATTGCTAAATGGGTCAAATGTTGCGCCCCGTGCAGTCCGTCAGTGTCAGTTTAAAAGTCCAGGAATTAGAGCAGAGAGAGGATGACATCATTTCGCATGCACGGCCCTCCCCCACCGGCACTGGCCAGGAGGTCACAGGATCTAAAGAGTTGAGGCTCCTGTGTGTTCCCCATGCTGCTCAGCCTTAGTCCTGATCCAAAAAAAGTCGAACTTGGGCTAGAAACTAGACCAGAAGCGGTGGCGTGGCCAGGGCATCCCAGCAGCTCCCCCGGCTGTCTAGCCCGCTGCTTGCTCTTCCCCTTTCAGACTCTCTCCCAACAGTTTCTCATGCAAAAGATGTCCCAGAGGTGGGGGGAAGGAAGAAAGCAAAGGAAAAGTATATGATCATTTCTAATGCATAATAATCCTTATCACTTCGGGGTCTCTCTTCCCCTCGCCGCGCTCGGTGAGGCTCCATTATCACTAATGGGAGTTGCAGGAGCACAGGCGGCGCCCGGAGACCCCCGCCGCGCGCACTAGATGTGCATCAGGGGCGTTTCATTAACTCTCAGGCCGGCAGGCGCAGGGCTGGCGGCGTGGCGGGCCGGAAGGCGCGTTTCCCTCTGCGCTCTCTGTAACCTTGATGATGATGTTACCCAAAGACCAACCTCATTTCTGGGTCCCATGTGTGAGCTCTGCGGAGGAGTCACAAGCTGCTGGCGCCACGCGCGGCCTGGGCCTGCACGTTACTGCTCTCTCCATGGCCGCTGGAGAGCCGGGCAGCGGGTGCTGCGTCCCTTTGTCTCCTCGGGAGGAATGCTCAGGTCCTGGGGCTCAACCCCAGGCATAAAACGAGGGGTCTTGTTCCTTGCTGCTCTGGCTTACTTTTTAAAATGTGTAATTGTGGCTGAACAGACACCAGGAAACTGTGCCCAGACGTGGGCTCAGAAGCACCTGGGCTCACGAAGTAACCTTGCTCAGCTCCACACCCAAAACGCACCCAGGGGAAGTGCGCTTTTTAAAACACAACAGAGCGTGGGGGACGCATCGTGTCATAGGCCACAGCTAGGCGTGCATGCTGAACACAATCCGGTTAGCTGTCTTTACCACACCGATTGGTTTTTCTGTTCTAGCCACATCATGATCTCTGTTTTCAAAATTACAAAAAAAAAAAAAAAAATCATCTCATTATTTATGCTTCTTGTCCTGAGAGGCATGAATGGTTAAAAAAGGGGAAAATATCTAAATTAGCCAGCCTGTAACAGATTTAAACAATATACTTGCTCCTGCTTTAAAAAAAAAAATACAAAAACAGGCCATTGGGCATTAACCTGTTAACCGGGGAGGTCCCTTATTAATTATGCAACGTACAACGGGCGCATACTCTTTCACTAGGACGTGTCAGTACGTCACGCCCCAGTGGACGTAATTTTATATTATTATTTTTTTTATTTATACTTAATTAAAATAAATGAAATATATATTTTTTCGTTTATTTATATATAAAGCACAAAGGAAAATACAAAATTATAAACAAATAGAAAAGAATACCAACCAAAAAAAATGGAAACATCGAATTAAAAAATTATAAATTTTACAAACAATTATAAAGATTACAAAAAATATATGCCATCCCTCTCAGGGCGCAACATATATTTCAAGGACGTATTCATACGTCCTACCCATTCCCAATATTGTTTACGTTTGACGTATTTATAGGTCCTGCTAGGTTAACAGGTTAAGAGCAAAATTATTATGAAACTATAAACTAAATGCTGGAGATGCTTTTGCAAAAAATGAAAAGGTTTTAAAAAGGATGACAATGGAGGAAATATACAATAAAATAATGGAGGATTTCTCCTTGAGTAGTGTCATACTTTAAAAACAACTTCAGAAAGGTAAGCATAGTGTTCAAAAAGTGGAATCTTTAGGCTACGTGTAATAATGTAAGCAAGATCTAGAAGCATGAACGTGAAAGAACTCGTAAGGAATCCGTGATTCATTTTGTTTCGCTTACGTATTTTACATTAGTCTGATTCTTTTTCTTTTTTTTAGCAAAATCAGCCCGTGTGAAAACGATAGAACATTCTTGAGGAAGGTTAGAAGTTCACGGCGTGCGATGCGCAGCCAGATAGCAATGCCCCTGTCAGCGGCCGCCCTGCTCGCAAACAGACTTCTAGGGTTACCTGGGCCCCGGCCTCGGGGAGCAGAGGTCGCCGTGCTGTGAGAGCAGGGGGACTGTTGCTTGAAAAGAATTTCATGTCAGCGGAGATGAGAATTATTGCCGTGCTAATTTATGGCTATTGCATGAGGAACTGGACCCACTGAATGCATTCCTCCGAGGAAAGCCTGATTTCCCGCCCCCCCCTCCACCCAGAGGCAAACATTTGGGAGACAGTTACTATCAACGGGTTTTGCAAAATACAGGTGCTTTCAGCCAAGATCCGCCTATGTGTGGGAAGAAGAGCTGTAAGTGTGTGAAAAGGAAGGGACGTGCTTTCTTTCGGGTGGAGGCTGTGTGACACGGAATAAAACTTCTCCCCTGAATGACTGCTGAGCGCGGCCTGCAGGCTTCCCCGCCCGGGTTTATGGCTGTGCCCCCCGGGCCTGAGTGCTCACAGCTCCTGACTCCGGCCCCACTTCCTTTCTGACAAAAGCAAACCCCAGCCTCCCGCAGCGACCTGCTCCTGCCTTCCTGCCCGGCCGGAAACCCCGCCCGTTTCCTTTCCACATGTCGCCGTCGGAAGGACTCTGGAAAGCGACTTCCTGAACACACACTGCTGTCCGCCCGGCCTCTGACAGCCGGCGAGAGTGATGGATGGACGATCAGAGGGGAAGGTGACCCCACCTCCCGCTCTCTCCGGACGTGGGACGATGGGGCAGGCCCTGCCCCACTGACGTGCGGCCGTGGAGAGGCTGGGGTCCTGATAAGACGCCGTCCTTCTCGTCCGTCGTGTAAAATAATTGCTGGCTTATCAAAACTCACCCCGTGCCTGCGCCACAGATAGGGTTTATCTCCCGCTGTTTGGAAATAACAAACAGCAGAGAGCAGCTGCCCATGTCATGTGGTTCTCTGCACAGCACGGGTGGCTTTCTCCAGCCTCGGGCATAATTAGTGCTTGGGGCGGCGTGGCAAGTGGGACACGGATAAGGGGACCCTCTTTCCCAGACATGTCGGGCACCCGTGTCCTTTTTCGGTTTTGAAGCCGCTGTCACTGGACCCTGGCATTTCCTACACCGTCGGTTCGCTTTCCGTGTTAATCATATGCAATGAAGATATGCATGGCCAACATTTAAACAGGCTGCAGATCAATTAGCGGTCTTAAGTTTATCTGATTTTTATCAAAGAAGACAGAGCAGCGGGTCGATTGTCAGAGCCTGTGTCAAGTTGACCTTTTCAGAGATGTCTACATTGCCAGTCCCCTGGGCAACTTGTTGTCCCCCGTTAGTCTCTGAATGGCAGAAGTCTGTTCTGCTCAGGCACAAAGTATACACAGATGTCTATATTACATTCTTATAGGTTTGACAGCGACTGCATGTTGTATCTATAAGCTGTCCTTTAGCAGTGACACTTCCTCAATGATGATAAGCTAATTTATGCAACCAAATCTCCTTTGTGCAGAAATGAAAGCTAATTGAGTCATTACAAAGTAATTCAGGAAGGAATACCTTGTATAAATTGGCTTACTTTATAAATCCTTCTCAAGTGGTTTCCACGCATCCTAAATGGGGCTAAGCAGCTTCTCAGCCGTGAGACATCCAGAATGAAGGAGCCCCCTTTGGGGAGCTGCGTGAACGCCCTCGGGGCGGCGAGGCAGTGAGCCCGACCCACACAAGCGTCCCCGGAGGCTCCGGGCCAGTACCTGTGCTGTGATGGCCACTGTCCTGGCTCGTCTTCCTCTGCTCCTCCACTCTCCCCGGAGCGGCGTCCTCCTCCTCATCTGTGAATAAACAACATAAACGGCTCACTGCAGGGTTTCCCCGGGATAACAGTACAGGACTCACCCCACCTGAAGAGCAAAATTAAACGTTTGTAACAGAAAGATTCCTTTTCGGAGAAGGAAACCAGTCCACATTCACATGCCCTTTTCAATAACCTGAAGTTGAATAAATAGACCTCCAGCTACTTCCAAACATTAGCAACCTTACCAGTTGGCTTAATCGGAGAGATGTACCAGTGCTTTGTTGTTTTTAATACTCACAGAGGCTCATCTAGGATGACCTCAGACCCAGAAAAGCCCTGCCATCCAGTAAAATGATACCCAGCACTACAAAGACCATGGAAAGCGGCGGCAGGAGAGCCACAGATAAAACCGTGGTCTCTAGAACATCTACGTAGCAGAGAGAAGTGTGTGATATAAAAGTCATTTGTTGAGTATCAGAGACTTCATAGGTTTTCTCACTTGTTCTTCAGAGAAGAGCACTAGAAGGATCCTTACCCTACAAAGACCCCCCATTATACCGAGAACGTACTCTGTGTCATACTCTACAGCACAGGTAAAGATGTCGTAGATAGATACTTCTTCAGTCCTCATTTTTCAGGTGACTAAGCTGAGACTGAAAAGTTAAATCAATTTCTACCTTTTGTTACTCAAACTCAGGGTTGTGATCCTAAGGTCTCTGTCCCTTATCCGGCACATGTCAAGTGCCTTACCTGTTTGCACACTCTCCCACCACGTTCCCTCTCCAATTACAGGTCAGATGAAATGAGAACAGTTTTTTAACAGAGTCAATAGACTATTTGATGCCTTTACATTACCATTTTCCTCACCTAAGGATTTATATACAACTTAGAAATATTTAAGGCAAGGCATATGAATGAAATAGTATGCAAAAAAAAGTGGGTTCAAAATGAATCATAATTTCACAGAAAAAAAGTCCAAAACTTTAAAGAAAAATATGCAAAATATAGAAATATAACTATTATGACTATTAAATAATTAAACCAATAACTCTTCATTGAGTATTCACTACATGCAAGAGACAGATTCTGCCAGGTAGGCAAGGACATAGGGAACATCTGCCTCGAGGAAGCTGGCAACCTCGAGGGTCAGGAGACAGCATCTAAAGGGAATGGGATGGGGCATAAAACCTCACCTGTGAGGCCCAGGCATGAAGGAGGCAGAGAAGAAAGCACCCAACAGGGGAATGCCACGAAGGCTCCGAGAGAGGGAGAGGATCTGAATGAGAGTCGGGAAGGAGAGAATTTCCAGACAGAGAGGCATAAACAAAAGAACAAGACGCCATCATATTCATTTTGGCCAAAGAACCAAAGAACGCTGCACTCAGGGGGGAGGGTGGGTGGGATGGCACTCAGGGGGAAGGTGGGATGGCACTCAGAGGGGAGGGTGGGATGGCACTCAGAGGGGAGGGTGGGATGGCACTCAGAGGGGAGGGTGGGATGGCACTCAGAGGGAGAGGGTGGGATGGCACTCAGAGGGGAGGGTGGGATGGCACTCAGAGGGGAGGGTGGGATGGCACTCAGAGGGGAGGCTGGGATGGCACTCAGAGGGGAGGGTGGGATGGCACTCAGGGGGAGAGGGTGGGATGGCACTCAGGGGGAAGGTGGGATGGCACTCAGAGGGGAGGGTGGGATGGCACTCAGAGGGGAGGGTGGGATGGCACTCAGGGGGAGAGGGTGGGATGGCACTCAGAGGGGAGGGTGGGATGGCACTCAGAGGGGAGGGTGGGATGGCACTCAGAGGGGAGGGTGGGATGGCACTCAGAGGGGAGGGTGGGATGGCACTCAGAGGGGAGGGTGGGATGGCACTCAGGGGGGGAGGGTGGGATGGCACTCAGGGGGAAGGTGGGATGGCACTCAGAGGGGAGGGTGGGATGGCACTCAGAGGGGAGGGTGGGATGGCACTCAGGGGGAAAGGGTGGGATGGCACTCAGAGGGGAGGGTGGGATGGCACTCAGGGGGAGAGGGTGGGATGGCACTCAGAGGGAGAGGGTGGTATGGCACTCAGAGGAAGAGGGTCGGATGGGAGACATTACGGGGAGTTTGGGCCAATGGTTGAAGGACCATGAACATTCTGCTGTGGACTTTCAACTTGTACTCGGTGGGCGATATGAGCCCCAGAAGGTTTTTGAGCAAAGAAAGCACAGGGCTGAGTTATGCCTGAGGAATGGCCATCTGATCCCACTATGTTAGGTTCTGGAGGAGGGGGATGGGGGAGAGACCTCAGAGTCTGGCGAAGGGGAAGGAAGTGCTGAACTGAAGGGCAGAGGAAATGGAGAAGAGATGGCTTGAGGGGTAAAGGAACTGGGATTGATAAACTTTGAGCCTGGCTGGAGGTGCAGAGCTAGGGGGGGAAGAGAGCAACGGAGGATGGCTGAGGTTTTGAGCTGAGTGAACTGAAAAATGGAACATCATTGCTAAAAAGAGAACAGTCGAGCTAAGCTATTTTGCTGAGGAAACGCAAGGAGCTGTGCTTCTGACATGAGAGATTGAAGAAGCCGGTGGGCAACCAGAGGAAATGGCCAGGGGCGACTGGAGAGGTGGGCAGAAGGGTCAGGGCAGCACCTGTGAGTCTAGAAGACTCGTGCAAATTTTATTTTATTTTATTTTTTTGTGCAAATTTTAAAGTGGTGATTAATAACAATCAGCATTTAAGTCAAGCTTGGGGATTGCTGTGCTTATAAGACAACGCCAACTGTTTTGAATTTTTGTAACTCGGTTCAAACAAAATAATAAAAGCTCCAACATCAGGAACAGCTGAACATATTTGGTACCTTATACATAGTCAGTTGAACCTAACATTGGTAATTTAATGTTGCTCAGTCAAGTAGTAATTAATACATAAAAGACCTAATAAAAAGTCTTGATACTAAATCCTGGTCTCTTTTCTCTCCAAGGACAGTTCTCACTTGGTGCCAAACCTCAAGGACCAGCTGCCACACTACCCCTTAGGATGTTGGGAAGGTTTTCACCAAATGTGAAGGACATTAGGGACATTTACAGTCATTCGGTCTAACCTACTCATTTCACAGGCAGTGAATGTTTCTGAAGGGAGAGCAACCTTTCCTTACTTTTCACACTTGCTCTTCCCCCCAGCATTCCTCTCTTCCAATCTGGTCACAAACGCAATAAGAAGTAAATTCAAACACAGTTCAGGACACATGTCCTCCAAAACCCCCTCGATATAGGAAGCAGCATCCTTGGCTCCTAAGGAGAAGCCATGGGATTTAGACTCACCACCCGAAGTCAGTGCTGAGATATCACAGAAAGTAATTATAATACATAAATAAAAACTTGGCTATTGGCAAGGTTAACAAGTTAGAATGTATTACTATGAATTGAATTCTTATCTTAGTAAAATTTAAGTGCCTATCATATGCACAGTGTATTTTTATATTACCAGAATGATATTAAAAATATTTACTTAAATACCAACATTTACTATACGTATATAAATCGAAATCCATGTGAGATGCTTAATAAGCAGTATTTTAGAGGATCAGATGCTCATTAAAAACACTTCATTTCCAACCTAGGACTGATATTTTTAGGTCAAAGCCGTCTGTGTTTCATACAGTAATTTTTTTCTTAACAACTTGTTTCGTCTTGATCTAACAATAAAACAGCTTCCATACAAGTGACAACAAAATAAAATCTGGTGTGTGGGGGAGAGGGGGAAGGTGTTAATCTTAGGGATAAAAAACTCAGATAGAATCTTGAATAGAATATGGTACAAGGGAGATGCTTAATAAATACTGAGTGAGCAGATGGATTCAAAAATCATGAAAATAATTTCTACTATATATTTTATTTATTAACAAACAAGCCTCTCCACACCCCTTAAAAATACATATAAGGAAAAGTGACTAAAATTCTAGATAACAATCACCTTCACAATATATTAAATATAGGAACACATGCTTTATTTAGGTTTATTATTAAACATGTTTTATTTTGGTGTTGAGGCAAGATGTCATTATACAATACTAATTAATACCTCAAATAGTCAACGTTTGTGAGTTAATATATTCCATTCAACACTTTAATAACAGTAAACAAAAACAGCTCAGCTATGCAGTAAAATCCATCAAACCACACAGATGGTTATAAGGTTTTCATTATGTGGTTTCCATAGCAATCATATTGCAAAGCTGGAAGCTTCTTGCAAATAAGCAGCTTGTATTTACATGCCTCTCAGCTGCAGCACAAACTCTTCAACATGTGAAGTTATTATTCCAATCACACATTGTTAGAGGGATCAGCAGGAGATTTTATCAGAGAAGATGAAAATAATAAAGTGAAATTGCAGAATATAATTCAAATATGGTTCTGCGTTTACTAAACTCATCAATGAGGATCAGAAATGTTCTGTAGTCACTGAGAGGCTTTAACATTAAACCCTGTCAAAAATATGGAACCTCCAGGGGCAAGCAGACCCAACAGAATCCAAAGCTTGAACTTTATTCTCTCTCCTCCTTTTAATACACACGAGCCTTCTTTCTGAGTGCAGTAAAGAGAGGAAGAATAGCAGGGAAATGAGTTTTCCCAAATCTTTTAGGATGATGACCATTTGAGAAAATGCTTACTACTGTGGGAAAAGTCAAGACCTTTTTTTTCTCCTGTCACATGAATCAATTTAATTTACAAATCGATCCTGTTCCATAAGAGATGGATTATTACCCTAATAAGGATCCAAATCTGTCTAGCTATGCAGGTTTTACAAAATGGCTCTTTCTGGTTTACTAATATTCTTTTTGTAAGGATAAACAACAACACAAAACGAATGACCTATGTCACTGATATAAAAAGGTAAAGGACAATTCTTTAGGGAAAGCTAGGGTGTGTGATGTTCACATCGGGGCTGGGGATTGACTTTTAAAAAAAACCTTTTATTGAATTTATTGGGCTGACATTGGCCGGTGTACACGTCTATAACACATCACCTGTACATTGCATTGTGTATTCACCACCCCAAGTCAA